TCTGTCCCACAGCCTTTGCTCGGCTCCGCGCCCCTGCGCTGACGCGTCGGGTCCCAGGCAGCGGCAGGGCCGGCGAGGACGGGGTCCAGCAATGGGCAGATCCCACCCCGAGGGTGCTGGACCTGGAGGTCTCACGTAGGAAAGCGCTCTTCGGAGGTCAGACTCTTGGAAGGGGAAAGCGCGGGAAAGGCGGAGATTTGGGGCTGTTCTTCTTGAGCACCGCCTTGGTACCACACAAATCAGAGGCTTCCCAGCACGCTGCTGTAAACCAAGGCTTCTGCCCTCGGCGCTGGAGGAGAGCCTCCGGCCACGCTTCCAGCACCTTCCCCGCACATGGATTTACGCCAAACCCTGGGCAGGGGCGGACAGGCAAGAGGCAGCGGTGGCAGCTCAGCCCAGCCCAGCAGGACGGTCGGTCAGCGGTTACGTGCCGCAGGGCCCTTCACCGACTCACAACAACCCCGTTCCATTTCAGTCCACTGTGGTGAGGGTAGAACCACTGGGACGGTGACACACCTCCTGCTCCGGGGAAGGGGACAGGCACAGCGCCCGATGTCGGCCAGCAATCGCTGGTTGATTTCTGTGGGAAGGGCCATACTCGGAGTTAAAAAAATAAATTCTCTTTTTCCCCAGGGACAGCAGCTACCACTTCAGAAGAATAATTACCGCAGTGGAGATAAGCAAGAAGAAAAACTAGTGCTTATTTGTTTCAGGCAGTTTGGAGCATATGATTAAACTGTGGTACAAGTTGTTTGTCAATTTTTGCTCTGCGATTCTTTTTAATTCCTCGTCTTTCCAAGTGGCAGTGTTTAAAATGTCAGCCTTTACTTTGAATACCGTTGCTCTTTTCATCTTGACTCACCGCTGACTTGATAGTTTGCAATAAGTGAACACATGGAATTTTTTTTTTTTTCATGTTACAACGTAGTGGAGAGAGGCTTAAACTTTTCAGACAGGTTTTTTTGACTCCTTAAAGGCAGAATGCCGTGAGTCACAAAAACAACGGCATGCCTCGCTATATAAACGTTATGTGTGTGTTTGTACTTACTCCCTTAAAAACACTGAGGACTGAGAAAGAAAGATCAAATGCTGCATCGTCACTGACTTTTTGTTTTAACTGACATATATAAGCATTATGAACTCAAACAGAACAGCAAAAGAAATTTTATAGGGGAGTTTGCTGTTACTGTTGTTTTTCCCATGGAAAAATGCCTTTCCCCCCTCCCTACAGTAGCAGACTGTAGTACAAAGCCATACGACAGAGGTGCTCCCCTTGCACGCTCACACATATACACACATTTAAGTGTCTTTTACACTGTTGCTTGAAGGCTTTTAGATTACATTCTCCCAGCAAACATATTTGCTAAGCAAACGCAGCTCTAACCCGAAGAATATGATGGATTCGAAACAGCAGACAGGTGGTTATTGTAAAATCTAATTTCAAATCTGCATATGGCTGATGCTCTGATTAAGCTCTGATTCTACAGCACTCAGAATAAACAGACCCATTTGACATGACGACAACATAACCTTTGGATGTCCTTTGCTGTGCGCGCTCTGTGTCTGATAAGACGCATTCCATACTCCCCACATGTCATGGCTGCAATGCAGATGGCGAGGCTTGCAAATGCAAAAATTCTATGCAGAAATCAAGGTAATTAACACTGCTTTTGCAGAACATGATTTTATGATAGATTTCTGTTCTTACTGATATTAATACACATTGGGAATAGCAACAGCTACATCCAGAGCACGCACTCGAATTATTACAACCAGCCCAGCAAGAAGCAAAATCTACCTCCGGCATAGCAAATCAGTCCAGCGGCTTCTCAAACCAGAACCAGGGCTGCCGGTATTCAAAATGCCATGTGTCTTCCAAACCCGAGTCAAAGACTTTCAGCTGCTTCGTGTCTTAAGAGAGAAGAGCATCACTCTGAAAAGTGGAGAAAGACAGGAAAGAAAAGAAATCTGATGGCTATTTCAAAGGATTTTCATTTGAATCCTCCTAAAGCAATCGGCAGTGCTTTCTGTTGCAAGGGGGAAAGTGAAAAGTGGCGGCACGAGATAAGATGAGATGTCGTCTTACTCTGCTCTTCATACGCCAAGTCCTTATCACCATCACTTGAGCCTGTTGGAATAGCCGACTACCACTCTGCCTAAAAATAAGCTTCTTATCTCTTATGTTTTTATAATGGCAAGCCATTGCAGCCGGTGCTTCCCCACTCCTGTTGAAAGTCCATAAAGGTCCAGCTTCTCTCATCATTACAGCATTAGCTTCATTACACAGCATCATCCCTCCAACGAAAGCATCTCAGATTGACTCTTCCAAGCCATCTCTAGCAACACGCTTGTCTGCTTGCAGGTTTCATGGAAATGCAGTTTCCCTCTGTGGTTTTTCAGGCCTTTTTCTGCCTTGGCAGTTGTACCCTGAAAAGGCAAGTCCATGAGGTTTTATCTAAGAAGTTTTGGACAACAAGGAGCAGGACTGTGAGCTGGGAGAGATGAATGGCCAGTGGGCACTGATGCAGAGACCCCGAGCAGTAGAGTGGCACACAGTGTTGTGGGTGGGAACTATGTAGACGTCCCCAGTTGGGAGCGCAAGCCAGGCTCCGAGGAGCAGGTCTACCCCAGCTGTCAAAGCAGAAAGCAGCAAACTCTGCTCACCTGCCTTTGCCCCTAGCTGCATCCCAGCAGAGACCCAGCTCACACTGTGGGTGAGACGGATGGCTTTGTCTGGGGCAGGACAGCTCTGCCATGCTGGCCCCACACCTCGTAGTCTGTCAGCAGCAAGGATTACCTTTGATTTGCAGTAGGAGCCTGTATATATTCTAGCTTGAGGGCTGAGTCAGTGTCAGGGTCTGTGTCGTGCTGTGTTACAAGTGCAGAAAATGCCTGAACTGCCCTGTTCAACCCCTCCTCCCAGATTCCCACGCAGGAGTGGCCCAGACAGCTTTGTTTCGGGTAGGGAGAGGTTACCTCCTTCTCCCAGATCATTCCTGGTATGCTCCAGGGGTCAGCAAGAAGCCTGGGCCACCAGCATCTCCGTCCCAAGCTCTGGCCCCTTGAGGCAAGCCAGGATCACAGCTGCGGGTCTCGTGCCAGAGAAGATGCACTTTCCAGCAGGAGCTGAGCTGACATCAGTGTGACAGATATGGATTCCAGCAACTGACAAAAGGGGAAGGTGCTACAACCCATTTCCACGATTCATCCAGCCTTTGGTCTCAAGTGCCTCTAAACTAGCCCATCAGCTCCTTGGATGCCTGTGAATCTGCCCGATTCGAAGCCAAGATATCATTTCCCAGGCTTCTGTGTTTTCAGTAGCCAGCTGTTCTTTACATTACATTGCTGTATTATATTCCATCCTCCTTCTCTGCAGTTTTCCTAAGCTCTTATCCCTTTCTGGTTTGGCATTACCTACTCCAGGATCTCCCTCTTGTCACACCTCCCGTACCTGACTCGTGCCTGTAGCTGGGAGGAAGCCACCAGCGCTGCCCCGGCTTGTCGCTGTGCCCTGGAAAGCACTCCTCTGCTTCACTTCAGACACAGCCTCTGGTGATGCTGCATCTTCCTCAGCACATCTGGATTATTAACCCACCACCTGGCAGCTCCCTAATTGGCAGTATCAGTAAAAGTGCATCTTTCTCTTTTCTTAAGTCTCCAGATAAAGTGGCTAAATTTGATCTAAAATCTTCAGATCCTCATTGCCTCACAAAATTTATAATGGCCTTGCTTATGCCATAAAAATTACAGCTACTCTCTTGCACTCACATGCTTTCTCTTTGTCCTTAACATACGTTCTGGCAGGGAACTGAGTGACACAGCATAATCTACTAAAGCTATTTCTATAGTAAACAGAGACAAAAACCACAGCCAAAGGGCACACAGCCTCCGAGGAAGCAAACACCACATATTATTGTATCAAGTGCTCAAATCCAAGCTCCTGCTCAAAGGAAACCTGTCCCTGGAGGGAGCCGTCGCTGCCCGGCCAAGTCGTGCTGGGTTCCAACACGCTGACCACGTCTCAGCGCTAATCCCATCGTAGCAGAGCCCTTGGTGGCTTCACGCGCTATCACTACGCATGAGCCGAGCATCATCAACAGTGTTGAAGGCAAACGGTGACTGCTAGGTCACGTGTAAATATGAATCTGAGGTCATGTTCTTTTGATTTTGCAATAAAGATGAGACCTCTGTGGCCTGGGACTCGCTTGCTTGCAGGCTGCTCCCTGACTCAGCGCAATTTCAGCAGCGGAAGGGTCCCCCGGAGAAGGCACAGCACTGCCAGGACTCTTCTGCTTCGGAACTCGTTCCCTGCTTTGAGGCCAGAAAACCTTGGATGCGCAATGCTTTGGGTCATGCTCAAAAGCCAGAGTATTTTCAGACTTCCGAGAAGAGAACGTTGTATTCATAGGGAAGTTCAGGTTTTCAGTTGTTTTTGTAATTCATTTTGTTTCCAATTGGTTTATTCAGGCTGTAGGGCTGAGGAGTTAGCTGCTGGATTTCTCTTCCAGACTCACATTTCTAACTGTTTGCAGATGTAGGACAGAGCTATTTTTGTAATACAAATCGTTACCGAGAGAGTATCTCACAGCCCCCACTGAAGCAAATTCCTAGGGAAGCAAGCTCTATTTTTATAGAACATTTCTTAGTATTTTTTTCTAATCTAATGACTGGGAAACAAGCAACATCAGCTTTTCTGAAGCTGCTAAGTTGTATCTCCCTTTCTCAGAAAGAAAAATCCAGCAGGAGAGTCATTCCTACCAAGAGGAGCTGGATAGGAGCTGCAGACGTGGCTTCCCGAGCCCCGGGGGATGCAGCATGACCGCGAAGACGGGGGCTGAGCAAATGGGGGACAGAACCCAGGTCTCCAAAGTGACACAACTTTAGAGGTAAAAATAATCAAGACAATTCCAATGCCCATCTTAAAAAATAAGACGATCTCTTCTAAAAAGTGTCGGAGTGTGGGATTTTATGGAATAAGGCAAACTCAGTCTCACACTCACTCAAGGTCGTCTCTCTGAGACTCAAGGACAAAATTGTAAGATAAATGCTGAGGCTTTTGGTTGCATTGCAAACTCACGGATGACGGACTTTAGAAGAACAGTCTCATCCCTTGGAAGTTGTTTGAGGAACTGTGTTACAGCTCCTCCCATTTGACTCACACCAATTTAATAAGTCACAATTTTAGATATTCCTTTCCTATCCACATGAACACTAAAACCTATATTGAACCTAGAAAGAGGAGGGGGAGGAATTGGCATTTCCAGTTTTCTCCTTTCCAGCAGGGGCCTAAAGATGTAAGTTAACACAGAAACAGATGTGGTCAAACACACTTTCTTCAACTAAATCAGCAAGGCTTTCTCACTGAGCCTCGGGGCTGTGCAGGTGTAAAATGTAGCAAAAGTTATCCAAAACTATTTAATTATGGCTGGGGGGATAAAAGCTTTTAAATTATGAAACAAATGACCAAAACATAGAGATTGGTTAAAGCTTTTGGAAAAAACAACAGCAATAAAAACGCTTCTGAGCTGCGAAGGAACAGGCAAGGCGATGAGTTTAGGATCATTCAGCTGCAAATACCACATCATCATTTGCAAAA